CTTCTGAAGAGCATCACAGATCCTTGCCCCCAATCTGCTTTTGAAAATCTGCCAAACCCCATACACCACAGAGGTCGAACAACAACCTTCCTAACATTTAGCCTGGTTTGACGAGTATTACTGGAAATAGCTCCATGTCCCCAGATTATTCCCTGAGACTCCATCCCCTCCCCAACTATTGCTCCCCCCCACTCTCCCACTAAACAATAAAGGATCCTATTTCTCATCCAGTGTGCACGAGTGAGTCAAACCTGTGTTCACATCTTGCCAGATGAAAGAGAAGGTTACACTTAACATAACAAATCCATTACTAAGCTTAAAAAAATTCTTCAAAATATATCCAAATTTCTCTTCACAAAGTTCTGGTGAGGGAGCAATGGATCTGAACTAGCATACAAACGTTCAGGTTTTGGCTCTTCCCTGAGGGGGAATAGCCCCTGTTATGGCTAAGAGATAGTTGATTCTGCTAAGGGTAGTAACAGTGCTTGTTTCAGAGGATGGATAACTTGTTACAGAAGGAGTGGGGAGATTCCATTTAAGTAAGGAGGGGGACATGTGCCACTCTGCAAACATCCTAATCACGTTCATGGCTAATCTCAGAAGAGATATTGAGGCAATCCAATGAAACTATATGGTCTTCAGGCTAAAATCTCTGAGGAGAACTGGAGAATCCTGGACTATGCAAGTGTGTTCCATAGGATTTCAAGGGTCTTATTAGTAAGGAAGCAGGAATCAGTAAGGAAGTAGGTGCTGGGAGCCTGAAGCTAAGAGAGATGTGAAGATGCGATGTTCTTGACTCTGACTACAGAAAAGGCTCACGGTCTAGGATGGCAGCCCCAGAATGTGGAGGCAGGTGAGGGAAGAGTGTCTGTTTCTCCCCAGAACTGAGGCCAGCTAGCATGCTGGGGGGAAGCCAGTGAGAACCATTTTAAACTTCTGACCTCCAGAACGACAAAAGAATCATGAGTGCTAGGTTTTGGGTTCATTTGTTAATCCATCCCTGTGGAGAGAGGTCACTCCAGGCAACACTCAGGATACCATGCAATGCCAGGGATCAAACTCAGGTCTCATGTGGGCAAAACTTGTGCTCCAGTCCTCTGAGCATCTCTCCAGTCAAAACTATTTTCTGCAGAGATAGATCCCAGTTTGTCCTTTCATCCTGAAGTAGGGCAAATGTCCATATTAGTGATGATGGCTGAGTTTGCCATTTTCCTACACTCGCGGAACTGGGCGGCTCACCTCTATTGAAGGATAGCTGGTAACATGGTCATTTGTCTAAGAACTTCATGCAGTCGTGGTTCCAGCTCTCGACGCAGGCCATGTCTGAGGTCATCACTGGGCATCCCCTTCTGCAACCAGTCATTGCCTGGGATACCCTGCTCTGCTACCCCCATTCTGTGGCAGGGCACACAGAAGTGTGCCTCACGGAGGCGCCAGCGGGCAGCTGGTACGGTGGTGCATGTAGCCATGGTCAGCACTGATGGCTAGTTGCTTGACCAGACACTTTGTAACTGGTGCCTCTGTGTTGTTTTGTTTCTGGGCCTCACTGGAAGTACTCAGGATTTATTCGTGGTTCTATGTTCGGGGATCACTCCAGATGGGTCTCAGGGGACCCTAGGGGGTTCCAGGAATTAAATCAAGGTCAGCTGTGCTCAACACAAATGCCATTACCCACTACACTATCTCTAGAGTCTCTACTTCAAGATTTTAATAGGCACTAACTCAAATGTTTGGGATTTTAATATCCTGAGAACTCATCTTTAGTCGTGGTTGACCAGAAGATGATGACACAATCAGACATAAGAGCACAATGCCTGGAGACCTCCAAATCTGGTGTGGAGTATAAACAGGTGTGTAGAAAACCATGAGAGAAACACTTAAAGAAAGACTTCAAAGGAGGCCTTTATTCTTAAACAAGAATCACTGTCATGAGTACTTGTGTTATAGAAATCAGATGGGCCAAAACCAGCATTGGTAGAAGTTGGTCAAAGAAGCACAACCAGCACAGTTGAAAGTGCCAACTGCCTGGACACACATATGACTTCAAGGTCCCAGAGCTGTACCTCCACAGCTCAGCCTTTCTGCATGGTGCCAGCTTTCGTCAAGCCAGTCAGGGGGAATCTATCCCCAAATTATTTTGAAGCATCAATGATGATGAAATCACCTATCTTTTTTGGAGGATTGGGGTGCAGTGAGGGAAAGTAAAAAATATTTTTTCTTTTCTTTTTTAAAATTGAGTTAACAAAACTTACAAAACGACAGCCATTTGTGATTGAGTTTCAGGCATACATTGTTCCAACAATGCCTTCACCAGTGCTCACTACCTTCCACCAATCTCTCTGATTTTCCTCCCACCCCCAGCCTGCTTCTGTGGCAGGTACGTTTCCCTCCCCCAACTGAAGGACAAAAATCTTTATTCATCTGTGTATGGTGTGGTTGCTTGGATATCAAAGATTTTGGGTGGAAGTGATAGCATCCATTTTTGTGTTCAAATTTATTAAGAAGGCATTAGTGTTAATATGTTACAGTGGCTTAACTGAAGGAAAATAATAAAGTGAGCACTTTACGCCCGTTTACCACCAAAAGGAAAACTGAAGGTCAGATGCAGCAGTGTTTTGAAAAATATTGCAAAGTCTTTTGAAAAAACCACAACAGGTCACACAGAAAGAACCCAGGGAAGAGCATGTAGTAGGACTAATGCCATGCTAGAGAACCTCTCTTTATTTTGCCCCATTTCATGTGCTCCTCCTCAAGGCAGTAAGACCTTGGACTGGCCCTTCATCTTGAGGACTGGACTTTCGATTCTGGGGGCAGATCGTTCTTCTGGGGCTGTTGAATGATTATCAACACCTGCTACTCCTTAAACATCCTATAAGTAAGTGGGGGAGGGGGTTTCTCCTGCTTTTGGCTCTTATGAAATTTGACTCTTCTCTGTCACATTTCTTGCCCTCCTGCAGACCAGAGGAGATGCAGATAGGGGACTCTGGTTTGGGGGCTTGTTTAGAACAACTGGAGAGGAGGATAGGGACTGATGGTGGCTTGTGGAGTGAGGGGCGCTTACCAGTTCATGCAAGACGCGGGATGAGTAGCTTACAGAATCTGAGGTCAGGCCTACTAGGGCAGGACATGAAATGAGCATATCCAGGTTGTCTGGGTCCCCAACCACAGGGGAAGATGTCCTGTAGATCAACCCAGCGCTGTTGAATGCAGGAGACACAGAAGTTGTGGCCACAGGCTAGAGTCACTGGGTCTCTCAGGTTATCTAGACAGAGAGGGCAGCTGGCTTCTGATTGGAGTTCGGCCAGGGAAGCGGAAAAAGCCATTCTTGGAAGAAGGATGTCTGGAGATAAGTCTTTTAAAATATAAGTATTCTGAAGATAGATCTTTTAGAATGTTTTTTTTTCTTTTCTTTTTGGCTTTTTCTTTTTGTTTGTTTTGGGTCACACCCGGCATTGCTCAGGGGTTACTTTTGGCTCTGCACTCAGGAATTACTCCTGGCAGTGCTGGGGGACCACATGAGATGCTGGGGGTCGGCTGTATGCAAGGCAAACGCTCTATCTGCTGTACTATCACTCTGGCCCTAGAATATAAGTTTTCTGAAGATAAGTCTTTCAGAATATAGTTCAGTCCTCCAGTAACCGAGCTGTCAGAAGAAAATATGTGCTCATTACTCACTTCCCTTAAAGAATCTGAACACTCTTTCCAATTTTCTAGCAAGCTCTGACAAATACTTGTTTAATTCATTTTCCTGATACAAATGCATTTATTCTGACAGAAAAAGTATTATAAGGCCATGTATCTTTGAGCATCTAATTGTTACAAGCCTTCCTTTTAATAATTATATTATGATTTATTGACATCAAAACAGGTTCTATCCATTAATTATCAAAAATTAGAATTTACACATGAACTAATGTGTGGTCTGAGTTTTGCTTGAAAAGGCTGAGAAAAAGAAAGCTGGAATTACATTTTTATTGGAGGATTTATTATGGTTATCATAATAGTTTTGTTTCATCTGCCTAAAATGCTGTCTAGTAATATATTAGAGCTCACCATTATTGTGTTGCCCCTCTTCTAACCAAATCAAATTTTATCTTACTCTTTTCTGTCTTTTCTCCTACATCTCAAATATCTGAGATTTCTTTTCTTTTTTTCCCTACATTTCAAATACCTGAGGTATCAAAATTTCTGAGTCTACAATGTTACTTTAGGGATTACTCCAAACATCCCTAACCTCTTATCATTGTTTTCACTCTTTCCACTCATGATTCCTGCTTCTTAGACCCCATATCAAACTTCAAATGAAGAGGAATTCATTTTGGTTAGGACCATGAGGTGACAGTCAGGGCTGGACCTCTCTCTTACACATCACTGACTGCATTCTCCCCAGAATCTGCCTACATTCACCAATCTCTAAGATCTCTAAGATCAAAGATGCTTTTTATTTTTTTTTAATTTTTAATTTTTTGCTTTTTGGGTCACACCAGGCAATGCACAGGGGTTACTCCTGGCTCATGTACTCAGGAATTAAAGATAGGGTGTACTGTCTATTCAGATTTTTTGTCTATGTGGAAATGTCTGCCACTAGTTAAATATCATACTTACATATTCTTCCAAAAAATTGGAAATCTTTTATCATTCTTTCTTTCATAAAAGTACTGTTTTTGGTGTTATTAAATTAGTGAACATTGATTCTGTAACATCAAAATTGGTGAAAGTCAAATCTTCCAACCTCACAGATAATGTGTGAAGTTTTGCAATGCTTTCAAAATACTTTACTGTTGCACAGAAGACCTGAAATATCTTTTACATTATAAAAATTTTTTGTTTTATTTACAACAAATAATGGTACAATTATTTCTATATACGACTTATTACAAAAGAGAACGTTTCTCCTTCATTGTCCCTAAATATGAATATCTATGCATCCGTTTCATCATGTTTACATCAACAGTTTTCCACTTAGAGTGGGAAAATAAACACAAGGGATTATCCTTCCTTTAAACTCTCCCCACACCCACGGAGAGAGGGGCACAGTCGGGCCTCAGGAGGAAGTAGGGCTTGAGCTCTTGAGCAAAGGGCTCTGTGAAGGAGTGCAGGTGAGACCTGTCGGCGGCGTTGTAGAAGGAAAGCTGTCCCAGCTCCCAGTCCAGGTAAACGCCGATGGCCGCGGGCTGGTCCCTGAGAGCCAGAGGCACGGGCCCCGCTCCCAGGGCCAGGTAGTCTCCATCCTGCAGCTGCAGCGTCCAGCATCTCTTGGGAGATGCCAGGGGACCGGTGGCCTGGGCGGAAGGCGCGACACTGCACACGCCCACGGCCCACTTGGGCTTGGCGCCCACCTGCACCGCCCAGTAGTGGCGGCCAGAGGCGAAGCCCTCCCGGCCCAGGACCACCAACGGGGCAGTGTAGTCCCAGGGCCGGTGTTCCCATCCCCTTTGGGCCTCTCCCTCACGCAGGTCACTGACATGAGGTCCTGGAACACGCGCAGGCTGGGGTGTGCCATGTAGGGGTCCATGCTGATGCGCTCTCGGAATCTCCAGATGATGCTGCTGAGCGCCGAGCACAGAGGAGGGAGGCTGTAGGCCACCGGCCTGAAGAGCAGGGGCTGCATGACTGGGGACTGCAGGCCCGCCCAGCGTTTCTGCAGGCCCCTCACGCCCATCAGCACCATCTCCTTGGACATCACGCTCCACTCGGCCACCTCCCGTCTGAGGTCTTTCAGCGCCCAGATGTGGTCCCAGTAGGCCTCCAGGTTGGCCCTGAGCTGCTGCTGCAGGCGTTTGTCCTCTTTGGCCAGCCTGCAGAGTGCCGCCTCTTGTTCACGCTCCACAAACTGGGTGAGCTGCTCAAATTCTGAGGCCAACTGACTGTTACGCATTCTTACCTCCTCTCTCAGCTGCAGGAGCTTTTTCTCTTGGATGACTAAGAGCTTCTCCACCGTTGCCCGCTGTGACTTCAGGGACTCGATGAAGCCGCCGAGCCTCTGTCTGTACTGATGTGCAACCTCCTCCCCGGGCCTGATGTTGGGTCCCTGGTGGACAGGGCCCTGGGGGCACAGGGGACACACCGGCTCCTGGTAATCTTCACAGAAGAGGCTCACCACCTGCCTGTGCTCCTCACACCTGTGTTCCTATGCCTGCGCCATCTCTCTGCTCCCAGAGCTGTGCAGGAGCTTGACCAGGTCCACCAGCCTGCCCAGCTGGGCGTTGCCACTGACGCGCATCTCCTGGAGGGCCCGCCGGCACACGGGACAAGGGAATCTGTCCTGCAGGTCCTTCCATGATGTGCGGATGCAGGAGGCGCAGAAGTTGTGGCTGCAGTCAATGGTGATGGGGTTATCGAGGTAGTCCAGGCAGACGGGACAGATGAGCTCTGGATGCATTTTGGCCAGGACTGCCGACACCTCCTCCATCCTCGGGTGTGGGAAGGGCAGGTAAGGGTCAACGGGTAATCCTTATAGAAAGGGATCACAATAAAATAGAACAAAAAGAAATGGACATACTAAACTTAGACCTAAACTGACTGGTCATTCTCTCTCCAGGGATGGGAACCTAGTATATCATTTTCTCCTTAGATTCTGTAGTGACATCATTTTTTCTCTAACATGTTAAAATTGTTCCCGACTGTCAGCTAATGTATGTGTTTTTTCAAAAATAGCACTGATTCGCCTCCACAGCTCAGTGATGATGCCACCATTTTTTTATTTGTCTTTCGCACCACATCTGGCAGAGCTCAAGACTTAGCTCCTGATTCTATGCTCAGGGATCATTCCTAGTGGACCCTGGGGACCATATGAGGTGTTCAGAATTGAAACCGGATCAGCCGCGTGCAAGGCAAATGACCTACCCGCTTCAACCTTAGCCCTTCTCAGAGTCTGTCATACTTCCTGGACATTATTTTTTTCTTTAACATATAAAAGTTTCCTCCTGAGAGATCAAAGTTCAAATGCTCGTCTTGCATCCTGCTGACCCTGGTTTAATTGCCCAGAACCACTTACGGTTCTTCAAATTGCAGCTAGGGGTCACTCCCGAGTACATTGTCTTCGTAAGATTCAGCTGTAGTCCTACCTTTCCAAAAATGATCGTCTGTACTTTCAATGCACGTACGCTAGCATCAGATGCATCCATTGAGAAGTTCTACATGGAGCTAGAGAAGTTCTATAAAGAATACCACACCTAATAAAAGATCATTGTGGGTGATTTTAATGCCAAGATAGGACCGAGAAGATCAGCTGAAGAACTTCACATTGGGACCCATGGCCTAGAATGGAACGAACAGGGTGAGAGACTGTCTGAGTTCATCATGTACTTAAGCTGAGAAGAAAAACTCTAAATAAACTATTTCAAAGTTCCCAGTTCCCATATCCTACAATTTCACTTCATTATACTTTCACATTTTCAAAACTACTATACGGGCATGAGAAAAAGGACAGGCACATATTTTATATGCTCTTTCCATCATGTGGTTCCACAAACACCAACGATGCCCCCCTTTCCCCCAACATCACCACAGGATGTGCATTAAAAGCCTGTGTCGGGGCTGGAGTGATAGCACAGAAGGTAGGGCATTTGCTTTGCACGCAGCCAACATGGACAACACAAGTTCGATTCCCAGCATCCCATATGGTCCCCCGAGCACCGCCAGGAGCAGTTCTTGAGTGCATAAGCCAGGAGTAACCCCTAGCATCGCTGGGTGTGACCCAAAAAGAAAAAAAAATCCTGTGTCATATTATACATAGCTGTGACTTTTTCCTTCACCCAAGTTTTCCCTTCATATTTTTAAGTTATGTAAAAGAGTCTGCACACATATTTCCCTAGAAAGTGTGCAACTGTTCTCACAATCCTTTCTAAATAGATCTGAGGAGACTCTTTAATTTTCATTATTATTAGGAGGGAAATTTGTGATGAGTTAGTGATATCACCAGATTACTGCTGAGGGTAGTCACTATATGTCTGCTCAGAAATTTGTATTTCTGTTGTGTGGAGAGCCTCGTGGTATATCATTAGCTTTTTTCAATCTATTAAATTGGGGGACAGAGGGGTGCTCTGGAATGCCATCTCACCATTGAAGACTGGCCATAGGAAACATTGTCTAGTGTTAGGAGCAGTGGTATTTGTTAAAATAGCTGGAACTTCAAAACAGTTCAACTCTTTTATAAAATTTCTGTCCAGGCTCAATAAAATTGGAGCTGTGTGTACAAAGCACCCATGAGGGTTTTACACAGAAAATGAAAATAATCCGATTTGCTTCTGAAACTGATGATTCAGGAGCCGGGGGAAGGGGCTATGCAGGTGGCCAGGGTGTATACCCTAAAACAGACTCCCCCATCACTACAGGAGAGACTCTTGAGGAACTCCAAGTCCCCCAAGTAAACAAAGCAAAGAAAAATTAAAATAAGTGTTGGGATGTAGTTCATTTGGAAGAGCACTTGCTCTGAGTGTGTGAGGCCTGTGTTTGATTCCAGGCTTGCTATCCCTAGTGCTGAGCTGAACGCAACTCATAAAGCAAAACACATATACACAAACACACACACACACGTGTAGACACACACACTTATACATATACATACATATGTATATATGATTATACTGTGTACTGAGATGATAAATAATGGAAAGGAAGCATGAAATGAGGAGCGACCTCTAATGAAGATGTTCAGAAAGAATCAGAGAATGTATGCGATTAGAAGAGGAGATAGAACCACATAACCTGTATGGCTTTTTTTATACTATACTTCATTACAGTGTTTTATTTCTGTATTCCTGGACCATTAAGAACATGTAGTTGGGCTGAAGCAGTTGTAAGGCATTTAAGGTGTTTGTTTTATATGTAAATGACCAAGGTTTACTCACTGGCATCACATATGGTCCCTGGAACACCACCAAGAGTATCCCTGAATACAGTCAGGAGTAAACCCTGAGCACTCTGGGTGTAACCTCCCCCACTGCATCCCCAAATGCAATAACCAGTCTTAGTACCGCTCTGGTAAGGAAAACACATCTTGTCTGTATATTCTTACTAAAAGGAATCCTAATGGTGCTTGTACAATTATTTTTACCCAGAATTAGTTTTTCTTTTTACAGAACTTCTATTTTTATACGTAAATGTTAGTAACATGCTCAGACCTTTTAACATCTCTTAAAAATACATCAAATTTATAAATTTATTTGGAGAAACCCAATCCCCTTCATTTAAGTTTCCCTTTGCTGGGCAGTAAATGACCTGATTCCGTGCTTCTAGGCCTACCGTAGACTGCTGAGAGCAGCCATCTCCCAGCCCAGCTCCTGTGAGCAATAGTCAGTGCTGTGGGTCCAAAGAGCAAGCTGGACTGAGCACTGGCCCCATCTAACATGTTCTTCAGTAAAATTACTGAATTTCTTCGAAGAGTGACTGTGCTTTAAGTAAGACTATCAGGGGGTAAGACTACCAGGGGATACCAGCAATGCAAAGGATGGAGAAAGTTACTGGGTTCTCATTCCCACGTTTTCAACTAAATGCTGAGTGAAATGCAGATCCTGAATAACAATTGCATGGCTAGAGGAACAGCACCTCACAGGGAGAGACAGGAGGGAGGTGATAGAGAGGGTTGGGGCCACTGCTAACAAGAGCCCCTGGGGGCCCTACAGTGGGTAAGACCATTTGTTTTGCACAAGACACAACTGGGTTTGATTCCCAGCATCCCATATGTTCTCCAGAGCACCTCCAGGAGCAATTCCTGAGTACAGAGCCAGGAGTAACCCCTGGCTTGTGCAAAAAACAGGAGTTTTTCCTCTAGAGAAGAGTGGGACAGGGTTCCATGGCCAAATGATGGAGAAGCAGGTGAGAGGTGGATCCTGGGTGTGTATCAAAAAACGGGCCGTGTATCAAACTGAGGAGGGAAAAGTCTGTACCTGGTTCTTTCAGCCACCAGACACCCTGTGACTGGCTAAGGGGAGGACTGGCCGCTGAACCTATGGGCGCTGGAGTTCAAGCCTAAGGAGCTGGAATGTGGGACATGATGGTAACCAAACATGCACTACTTGTGCCAGAGTTTCCTCTCTGTGTTGCGGGGGATCCAGGGCATGTGTGTTCAACCCACACCTGAAAACATCCCTGGGATTCTGGAAACATCTGGAAATATCCCTGCATTCTGGCTGCCTCTAGTCAGAGCTATAGCAGGTTCCTTAAAATTTTTCTGCTCATGACTCCCCTCCCCTTTTTCTTCTCTTTTATTTTTCTTTAATTTTTATTTATTTATTTATTTAATTTTTTTTTTTTTTTTTGGTTCTTGGGGTCAGCTCGGCAATGCTCAGGGGTTACTCCTGGCTCTGCACTCAGGAATTACTTCTGGCAGTACTCAGGGAACCATAGGGGATGCCAGGGATCAAATCCAGGTCGGCCACGTGCAATGCAAATGCCCAAGCTATAGCTCCAGCCTTCCTTTTTTCCTTCTCTGTTTTGAGTTATACACAGCTTTGCTCAGGGCTTAATCCTCTCAGAGATCATTCCTTGAAGTGCTGGAGGACCACAAATAGTGCTGGGGATTGAATCTAGTTCAGCCGTGGGCAAAGTAGATGCCTTACCTGCTGTACCAGTTGTCTGGCCTTCACCACCACCTTCACTCAATATGTTTTGGGGTATTTTGTTTTTACTTTTTGGCCACACTTGGCAGTGTTACTCTTGGTTCTGTGATCAGGGGTCACTCCTGCGATACTGGGCACCATGGGGTGCCAGAAATTGAACCACCCAGGTCTGACATAGGCAAGGCAAGCTTTTAAAAAAAAATTATTTTATAAAGTAGTTCACAATATCTTATTACATTTAATATTCAAACACCAAACCCATCACCATTACACCTTCTCACCACCATATTTTGGGTGTTCCCATTCCGAAACCCAATCCCTGACCCAAAGCAAAACCAAAATAATCTAATAGTTCACTCTAAGGTTGTGTAAGGCAAGCTTCAACTACCACTCTAGTCCCACTATCCAATAATTTTTTATGCAACTAGAGTAATATGTATATACAATTCAAGTATACAGGTGTACATGTATATGCATATGTATACAATTCAAACATTTCCTGTTAACAATAACAAATAATTTGGAGTGGGTAAATCCAGTGGTGCTCAGGGGTTACTCCTAGATCTGTGCTGGGCACTAATCTAACAGTGCTCAGGAACCATATGGTGCCACGGATCAACACTCAATTTTCCTCCGTGTAAAGCATCAATCCATTGATCTCCAGAACTAAGAAATGTATTTTAAAACAGTTTTTTTATTTAATTTGCTGTAGGCAGGAGGGTTGAGCCGTACCTGGCTATAATTAGGGCTTACTCCTGTCTTTGTGCTTGGGAATCACTCCCTAAGGTATTTCTGGAACCAAAATACAAGAACTGTCCCTGATGTACCGACTCTCTGATCCTAAAACAAT